CAACATATCACAATTCTAAAATTTATTTCTCCCAAAAAGAAAAAAGTCATTTTAATGATTTTCAAATCGGGGCTAAATCGTGTCTCAGCCTTTTGTACACTCATTCTTACCTTTAGTCCTTTTCTTTTGTAGCTTGGTAATTTTTTATATAAATAAAAGTTAAACATGGTGGGATCATCGCAGTTCTCGCCTCGTCCTGAAATTGCTTAAAATTTATTTGCTCATCCCGTATTGCTAACTTAGGGGGTGTTTGTTTTTGATTTGAGAATTGATTATTAAATCAATTCTCATTTTCAATCACACATTTTTCAATAAAATAATATTTTCCATCACATCAATAATTTTTTCTTCTTTTCCAACCACACATTTCCCATCATATCACTATTCAAAAATCAATTCTTCCCCCAAAAATCCCTACCAAACAAGCTCTTAATTAAGTGGTAAATTCATATCCCGATCAGGTCGGATTCTGTAAGGATCGGGTTTGTCCCGTTCCTTTGTCATTTCAAATAACACAACAAAACTCTCAATTTTTCGTTAAAGTAACCTTTGTTTTCAAATAAAATCTCCCCACTCGATATCTTTAGCACTATTAATATGAATTTTCAATGTGATATTTTCACTCATTTATCACGTGGTAGGAATGTCAATAAGTCGAGTCGAGTCAACTAGCGAGCCAAAACTCGGGCTCGACTCGAATAAAAATGGTTCGAACGAGCATTTGCTCAGCCAAAAAATCTAAGCTCGAGTCGAGTCGGCTTGCTTTTTTTTTTTTTTAATTTAAATTCATGACAATTTTTTTTTTTTTTTGAAATTTGAAATCTTGAATATAGGTCAAAGCAGCTTTTGCTGCCTAAACAGGCAGCTATAGACTGCTGCCTTGTATAGGCAACTAAGTCTTAACAGGCAGCTACTTAGCTGCCCGCAAGAGGCAGCAGTGCTATCTTTTCATTCAATTTTTTATTTTAATTCTCAGCTCATTATGGGCCGAAAATGATCTGTGACACGAGTTGGCTCGGCTCGAGCTGATGTCCTCGATTCTTCCGAGCCACAAGTCAGGTTGGCTTGAGCTTTCGAGGTATGACAAATTTACACCTCTATCACGTGGACACAAATATCTTAAAATAATATTTTGATTTAAATTTTAATTTTTTAAATGCGGTCCATTCCACTTACTGAACATTTTGATCGGGGGCACATTCTTTCGTACTAGTTAGTAGTTACAACAAGTTACCGGTTGACTCCATAGTCTCCATTACAATTATAATTCATTTTTCTTTCTCATTTTATCTACCACACATTCTTTAATTAATGATTTTATATGCAAATTTAAAATTTTTTTCTTTTTTAACCGCACATTCTTAAAAAAAATCAAAAAATCTAAGCTCGAGTCGAGTTGGCTTGCTTTTTTTTTTTTTAATTTAAATTCATGACAATTTTTTTTTTTTGAAATTTGAAATCTTGAATATAGGTCAAAGCAGCTTTTGCTGCCTAAACAGGCAGCTATAGACTGTTGCCTTGTGTAGGCAACTAAGTCTTAACAGGCAGCTACTTAGCTGCCCGCAAGAGGCAGCAGTGCTATCTTTTCATTCAATTTTTTATTTTAATTCTCAGCTCATTATGGGCCGAAAATGATCTGCGACACGAGTTGGCTTGGCTCGAGCTGATGTCCTCGATTCTTCCGAGCCACAAGTCAGGTTGGCTTGAGCTTTCGAGGTATGACAAATTTACACCTCTATCACGTGGACACAAATATCTTAAAAAAATATTTTGATTTAAATTTTAATTTTTTAAATGCGGTCCATTCCACTTACTGAACATTTTGATCGGGGGCACATTCTTTCGTACTAGTTAGTAGTTACAACAAGTTACCGGTTGACTCCATTACAATTATAATTCATTTTTCTTTCTCATTTTATCTACCACACATTCTTCAATTAATGATTTTATATGCAAATTTAAAATTTTTTTCTTTTTTAACCGCACATTCTTAGAAAAAAAAAAACCACTATTTCAAAAATTATGATGACAAATAATGGGAGAAACAGGGGCTAATAATACGCACAACATTTGTTTTGTAAAAATCTCTATTACTTTTACGGTTTTACCACCCTAACCCAAGAAGGAAAATGAAAAAATAAAAAAATAAAAAAGTTTTAGAACATGGCGGCAAACTCTCAAATATATGGAGGCAAAACTTTTGCACGCCTCTTCGCCCTCTCGGTTCCCCATCTCAACGCATACAGGTACAGTACATCTTCACTCGAACCCGATGCAATTTGATTGAAATATATAATATTAATCATTTTTTGTCATCCTCAACTTTATTTATGTGTTTTTATTCTAGAAGGAATCTGAACTTTGGTTTTGAGTATTTATCGAGAATTCTGAATAGATTTATCTGCGTTTTTCATTCTTTGCTAAATACTGTGAGGATACTATGATAAGCGTTTCACACCCAGTATATGGCAACTGTATCACAGGATTTGAATAAATGCAACATATTGTGGCGGGTATTTCATAAAATCGTAACGAAAAAGGATGGGTGATATTTTTTATTAACTCATTATAATTCCCTCGTAAAAATACTTGGGTGTTTTTTTTTCTGTTGCAACTCTGTACAGGATTCTCGTGTAAAAGTAAAATAGCGTAATAGCATGGCGCTAAAGGAAGCCAGTATGATTTATGCTTGGAAGGGGAAATGCAGATACAAATTCTAGGGGTATGTTCATTGCAGATAAAATTTTCTGTTTTTTTCCCTCACTGAATATTTTTATAATTTGGATAATGGATTTTCTTGTTAGGTATCGAAATTTTTGTTGTTTTCCCATGTATGCTTCTTCTTGTTGATTGTTGTAGATTGTGTTGATCAATTTGAATTACATTGATACCAGTCCTCATTTTCTATTACCTCAAAAGGTTGGTTTGTTGATCAATTAGAAGTGAAGTACTAAAATTTAACTCTCACCTCTAAGGAAGTGATAATTTCATTTCAACACTTGTTTTGCTTGCAATGAACGTAGAAGATACCATGTTTTCTGTTTTAATACGTATAGCATGTTCAGGGGTATAACATCTCTAAATATTTTCACGAAGATAGCTTTAAAACTATTTTTAAGCATATAAAACGTGTTTTATCTGGTTATAAGGTACATTATAAAACAAGTTATTTCACTTCTCATCAAGTAGTTTATTCAGCATTCCTGTTTTTCCTGTCATTCTGCAGTGCATATAAATATGTATAGGCTATATCAAAACAAAACGCAAAGGCTTCTATTAAAAGACAAGAAGAAATGTATACATACATGTAATCCCAATGAAACCACATCCCAATTCTATTTCTCGACTTCTACCTTTCTCTATCGACATTGAAAAATGGCTCCGTCAATGAGCATACTTTGAAAAAGATCTGAGCTGTCTATGATGTACACATTGTCAATCGAATCTCATTCTATATCTTAATCTTTTTTTCTCTGCCACCTAAACTACAAATAACTATAACTCATGTGAAGAGGTGGGCACTTGAATGTAAAACAATCTGTTGCATTCTAATCCTACGACAGTCCCTTATTTATTTTTGGTGTGGACAGTTATTGGTTAGGTCCTCAAACTTTCAATTCGCCCTGCTCCATTTCTTCTCTTATTTTTGCTCGTTTTTCTTCGCCATCCTGCTTGCAGGGTAATGCAATCTGGCCACCAGAGGTCTCGGTGCTCGCATTTTCTGCTCAAATCCTCGGACACAAACAAATCCTACAATATGAAGTTGAATGACATCAGCAAGAAATGAGTGCCAAAAACCTATCGATCTTGTGAATAAAATGTACATGCAGCCAAATGTTTTTCCAATAATGAAGGATGCAAATATTAGGTTTGAGTTAATTTGAATTCAGAAAGCAGTTCATACCTCTCCAGAAGCAGTATTGGATACCTTCAGTTGTCAAGCCTAGCAAGATCCAGTATATTTCGGTAAGTCACTTTTTATGTAATAGTCAGTACAAAGTGGGAAATTATGTACCTTTGAAAATGGTTGAGACAGAGGTCCCAAAGAAAACTGTACGTCTTGGCAGGCTCCATAGCATATTTCTCGGAACACTGATAGGATTAAGGCTAGATTCATGATCCGCAAATACCTGCATAAGAACTTCTTAATCCCTGTTTCTCTATACGATTGAAATTATTCAAAAATAGAATTTTGTTAGATTGAAATTGATTTGTCTAGAACGGGAAGCTGTAGTGGTTAACATTACATTAGTATTTTATAGAAACCTAACAAAATATTTATATGATAGCTTTTGAGAAGTATAAGCTATGAGGGGATAGATTGTAGGAAAAAAACTTTTGATGATCACTTTGAAATGTAAAGGTACTTTGCTAAATACAATTAGATGATGCATAAATATTCTATTTAGTTATAGTAGGAATAGGATGATGGTGGGGACACAATAGAGGATCATGTCATGTTAAAGAGCGATATTATTAAGTATTTACAGAAGGGTAGGAAACATGATTCTATGCTCAAAAATTGTATAGTTACTATTGCTACCTCATTGACTTGGAAGTAAGTACCATTCAGCGGGAAACTCCCTCGCATTGCTGTTCTGCACGGAATCTGCAAGGAGGTGGGTATGTCAGAAAGAAGGAAGAATGGGGGAAGGTTTTACTAATATCTAATAATTTGCTTTCACTTCCAATGGTTTTCGTAACATATTGCTTACCAGAAGTGTGCCTCTGACTGTCTGTGTTTGTTCTTCTCTTATGCTATTGCATGAAAAGCACATTTTTTTATCACATAGTCCACCTGATTCTTGATGGTTGCATTTACTTGCAGGAGCTTGTATTGTATCTGCCGTCTCTCCTGTTTAAATGATGCCAAATTGGGACAAGTGTCACCAGGTTATAATAAAAGTATATTTCAGCCGGGGTTTATGAGAAGAAATTAATAAATACTTTCAGCCTCCCTTCACTATGACGGTGAGGAATGCTTTCTGTTCGTCTGTGGGCATTTTGGCTATATTAAGAGCAATCAATCGCCCTGTAAATCACGTAGTGCTTACCTGGGGTCCATATAGCAAGAAGGTATGGACTAGGATCATCGGCTTCTCGCCTTTCCATCTAAACATTTAATAATTTTTTAGCCAGTTAGAATCAAATTACATTTAAGAAAATAGAATTTGAAAACGAGAAGATAAATAACTAACTCCTTTCAGTAGTGGATGATCATCTGGTAGTTCGTAGCTGCAGCAGAATGAGTAACCAGTCACCAAAAATGAGTACTAACTTATCGTAATTTCACATAAAGGACAATAAAATTAAGATATGTGTTGAGGCCTTGGGATGCAAGGTTTATTTATGAATGAATGAGGAAGTTGCATCATGTAGCGAGGTCTCTAATCCTTAAAGGTGTACATGGGTTCTATTATTTTTTCAATCTTTATCCTGAGTTGAGAACTTGTATCCATTATTCCTCACAAATGAGAAATTGTGAATTAATTATTAGCTTTTCTTCAGTGAATACTACTTTACGATAGCAGAATATAAATCATAAAGTAGTTTCTCGACAATCTGGTGGCTGCCCATATTGTAAGTCCAAGATGCTTGGTCCAAGTTTTTTGCCAGTGTGAAACTCCCTGATAATTAGCAACTTATTGCACGTGTCTTATAAAGCTTTTTTTGTTCAATAAACGACTGTTTCTTTTAGAATTTCATGCCCTATTGAGTTTTCATACGAAGGCATAAACTTACACTTGGTGCTCCGTCCGCAGTCTACTCATGCTTTTCAGTTTGGGCGTTGGGATTGCAGCGAATTCTGGACGCAAAGCAACAAGTGCTTTAGACAAATTAGTTTCTTTCGTTTCCATGTTTTGCTCATGCATAAAGCTCTGCAAATTTGTAGCGAACTGTTCTATATTGAGTTTGATTGTAGGTATTTCATCTGTATCCTCATAGAATGCATCCTCAATATCAGTTTCTGACAATTCCACCGGTGGTTCTGGCGTCGTTGGTTCCTCAATTATAGGTTCACAGATACTCAACCCAGTTCCTCTGTCTGAATTGTCACCTACTTGTGGTAGTGACATTGGCTTTATTGTTACGCCAGGGTTTTCATTGGCAGTTGTTGGAGTAGTAGATGCAATGATACTTTTCTCTTCTAGCCCAGGTAGGGCAAGTCTTGCGCTGTATAAAACGAAGTATAATCATCATACTAATATGTGTATTAATTTCTGATGTCACAGGCAAATAAGATTACGAGATTATAGAAGGCTAACCTAGCGAAAGCACTAGCAAAGTGTCGGCACTCTCCTCTCATTGGGCATGCATTGCAATTCGGTTGTTTCTTTGTGCAGAAAACCTGTATCCAAGATTAAGAAACTATATATTAAAAACCTCGTAGTGAGGATGATAGCGAGCTTCAGTGAAGACATACCTTTCCAAATGTTATCATTTGATAGTGTAGCTCATACCTGCAGTTCCATAATATATATAAATCAGTAGAACTTCAGGAATGTCAAAAGATTTCTTCTGATTAAACTGTCGACGATAAGAGATTTTTGAATTGTAATGAGTCAATCTGAGAAAGGAAATTACAATGTTTTCTGATCCAGCTTACAGAGCCTAGGCCAAAGATATTTCTGGATGGATTCCAACACTGGGTACCTGCATGAAACAAGATTAGAATCAAGAGTAGTTCATAAACTTAGCTGTTGATTGCTTGTCATGTACTTACATTTCAAGGAGATGCAACTGGAGTTCCTCAGGAAGTGGTTGGAGAGGCACCCACCCGAGTCGCACAGCAATTCGTCCAACATTTGTGTCAACCTTAGAAACCACATAGTTAGGGCAAGATTTTTTTTTTTTTTTTCGCTTATTGATATTAGATATAAGTTTTCTATATAGGCAAATGGCCTTACAGGGAATGCAAGGTTATGAAGTGTTAAGAGGCGTACGCACTCCACGCTCTTTAACCCCAGTCCTCGTATGCTTAGAAGATAATCTCTGCAAGGCATTATGTACTCAGAGGCAAAGAGTGAAACTTCGGAGATGGCAGAGATATTGGATATGTCCTTGCCTTCCATTATATACTTTCCAAAGATGGGTACATGAAAGGATAAATTTCTTTTAGGAAACTTACTTAGACTTTTCTGGTGGAACGTCTCTCAACCATTCCAGGTCGATTCCTCCATGGTCTTCAACCAGTCGATTGAGAAAATCCTGTAGAATATCCAACCAGTGTTACACTCTGGGCTTTAGGTTTTAATGGACTATCGGTAGTTTTATTGGAGTCCACTTTATAAACATTCTACTTACCTTAATTCGCTCTGCTAGCATGTTGTTCATTCCCCTTTCCTTGATTGTTTCAGAAATCTCACGAACATCAGCCTTTCTTAGTGATTCATAGTCCAAAGAGTCCATTGTTTCCTCAGTTCTCTCTCTTTTTCCCACCTCCAATTGTGCCTGCTTTCTCAACTCATCCCAACGACATGCTTCTCCCTTTTCCTTCTCAACTTTTGTCTTTCCTGCATTTGAAATTGTGGGACCTGTCCGGTTCGTTGGTTTGGTCGAAGAATTTACTTGTCCCGCTGCATCTGGTTCAGATATTTTCTTCTTCAAGTGTAGGAAATTATCTGCAACAATTTGAACCTGTACATTAAAATTTTGTCCAGTAAAGCTAGTGAACCCAGGGTTTTCACGTATATTACCACTTGGATTGTCATTGAATGCTTCAGCAGGTGTTGTGCAGTCTGATAGAAAGTTGCTTTCTTGCTGAATGGTCTTGTGGCTTCCTCTGTTGCAGTTGGTGGAATGTTGGCACTCTCCGCTTTGATACCCAGATTGTATGTTAGTCTGTGGTTCAAGGCACTTGTTTTGAATTGTATGATCCACTCTTGTTGCTAGATCTGGTCTTCCAGTCTGTTGGGTGATAAAACTTCTTTCTACATCTGTTGTCTTGATATTCTCAAAATCTGTTGAAGCCAAAGAAGATATGCTTTCTTTTCCTGGAGATGCGAGGAAATTTGATTCCCATTCTTCCAAGCCTGTCGTCATGCCGAACCATGAATTAGTGGACGGAGGGATTGGCCTCTGATGATGCAGCACATTGGAAGTGATTGGACTAGCATATGCCTTGCTGCCTCCATCCAGTCCTTGATTTTGCAGGTTGTACACAGGATTTTCTGATCGAGGGAGTTTCTTATTTGCAGAAGACCTTCCCATCACTTGATGCTGATATTCCTGTAATGTAGCCATTCTTTCAGCCTGTTCAAAAAGATTCAGAGGGCCACAGTTTTTGCCTAAATTACCCACCGATATCTGATCTTCGGCTTCTGAATTTGATCCTGAGCTGGATCTGATATCTTCATTTGCTTGGAAAACAAGAGATTCAGAAGAACTTTGTGATGAAATGACGTCCTCCTCTGTTCTTCTATTTTGCTTGTCCATTGTAAAGTTTCTTCTTCCTGTCATAACATTTCCTGCTCTGTATTGACACGATTCACTGGATGTTACAGAGCTGTGATTGTACACTGGCTGTCTTATTGTGCTGTGATCATAAGTTATAGTGCCATCTGGACATGTTTCTTGAACGTCATTTTCTTCAACTGATGGGCTACCTCCATTTTGATAGCACGATTGTCCGATAATTGTCGATTTCAGGGGGAATTTGGCTGCAAGGCACATGAAGGCAGAGCTGCACAAGGGGAAAATATATATAGAGACCATCAGCTTATGTCATCTTGTTTGTCTCTTAAAAGTTCTATAAAAAACTGTTGGCTTTACCTTGAAAGATGATCTGATACATTCTGTGTGAGAAACACTCCTACCACAGAGTCAACAACTGATCCTTTCCATTTGGAGAATCGTCTATCACCTGCAAAGGTTGAAATTTCCAACCAGGTTACATGTCCATGAATCCATGCATTCGGCGAGGTAAAGTCAAGCTTATTTGATTCTTTTTGGTTGGTTTTGGAGTAAAATGAATCACAATTTACAGTTGCAAGAAATAACACTAGAAAATTATTATGGTATTTACTAATCTAAGTCGCTTTATTAAAACTAAATAATTAGGCAGAATTAAGATGAAGTATACAGAAAATCCTTTTAGGAATAAGAGTGATGGTAAAGTTGCAATAGAGGATCATCTTCCAAATAATGTTGGTTTATGTATTAAGATATGGTTGCAAATAAGAAACCGAGACTTGAAGAGGATGTGATGGATAGGATTAGGGTGGTTAAAATAAACTGGAGAAGCACTATAAGGATTATATATGATCGAATATATCTACGTGTTAAAAAGAAATTTTACGAACGGATACGGTACTAGCTATCTTTCATGATTCTAAGAGTTGGATTGTTCAATAATTAAATAACTATAAATTGAACTACAACGTAAATGAGTATGCTAAGATGGATGCGTGGAAATTCAAGAATAGATAAAAAAAAATAATATTAATAATAAAATTAAAAATTAAAGGAAGGATGATTTAGATGGGTGGTTCATGGCTTACTGTTCACAAGAATGATGTTATTTGAGTTTAACAAATAGACTAAAGTCAACATGACATCTTGTTACAAAAGATTTAAGTACATTGGACCTTTCACAATATTCACTTCATCGAAGGGAGTGGACAAAAAAGATTTACGTAGCCGGCACAAGTTTATTGCAAATAATACCAAGCTTATTATTTTTGTTGTTCATTGTTATGGCTACAACACGTGACTGAGATACGTGATTATTTCCAGGTTTTGATCACTAAAGACAACCGGTCTCTTTCTTCAAAATCCTATCTAAAAACCAATACGGGCACCATTGTGGTTTTGCACTCTCCAACTTATCCTATCCTCTCACCCTTCACACTCCTCAAATCACAATGATTTTCACATAAAAAAAACTTGTTACTTTGTGTAAACAAATAGCTGTATTTGTTATTGTTTACTTACTACAAAACTAATCATTAATTCCTAAGATTCCTAAGTTATATTTCACAGTGTCATCTCCACGTGCTTAAGAAAATAATAAAATTTGGACTTATTTAAGGTGTATTTAGAGTGCATTTACATTCAATCAAAAGATTAATATTATCTAACATGTCATGTAAAGATAATGTATGAAATAAAATTGATATCTGGGATATGGCTAGCAAGCATGGTATCAGCGATGCCAACAATTTCATTGTCTGGGAGTAAATACCTTGAACAAGATGCATTCGTGCAATGAACGAGTCTACTCGTCCGCGGAATACTTTCCTCTCTTCTTCCCACCACTTTTCTTTATTCTTGTCAGTCGTTTCTGTGCTTTCGCTTCCTTCCTTACCCATCAAAAGATTCCATAGTCTATTTGTCTCCGGATCGAGATCCACTTTAGGTCGTGGCCGGCGTTTTTTAATTGGATCAAATTCTTCATATGGAACAACAGCACCATCTTGTTTATATGGAACAAGTGCACCTTGCTCCTCCCCAACAATTTCCTTTCCACTGCTGTTGATGCTCAGAGATTTTAAACTATCTATAATATCATCAACTGAAAATAGACGTCTGCCATCTATAAGTAAGCCTGCACAAAAAACAGAAAAACTGCTTAAATTTTTTAAAGAACAACGTTAGGTTGATGCTAACAGAATAACTTGACGAATAGATGGGTTCGTATGATGTTTTTGGAGGAACCTTTGTAACCCCTTGTCTTGTTCTCTTTACGGATGACTTTCTCCATATTGAGTGCTTGGTTGAATGATTTCAGTCTAGCCGTCTGTTCCTTCACCGAAAGGTGAATAGAAGAATTTATTATTTCATTTCCTCCAATGATTTTATGGCCCCTTTGAGATGAAGACTCCTGACTCCATAGAATTGCAGCTAGGGAGTTTCCACTTTGGGCTTTATTAGCTTGACAAGTGACCTTCTGCACCATTTGTTCTGCATGTGAATGTGCTCGAGATGAAGTAAGTTGCTGCTGAAATTCATGTTGAAAGTTTCCGGGGTTCATGTACCGATCATGGACCTTGTTGGATTCATTATTTGGCTTCCTGAAGGTGCTCATTCCTTCAAAGACAGAATATGGTAATCCACCATTCAGGTGCAAAGTAGAGCCGTTTGTGCCTCTTCCTTCAACTTGTCTTGAGCAATGTTCAACAGTAATGCCAGAAGGTGTGCTTGATGAGGTTACATGAAATTTATTATCAACCTTCTTTCTCTTACTAGTTTCTAAACCATCTTGCAATAATTTGTTGCTCTCACTGGCATAATAGTCAGTCTTAGAAACTCTCTGGCACAATAGTTGAGAGCCCATCAGTGCAGAAATTTCTGGCTGTGTCAACTCAGTTCGGGAATATTCTCTCTTGGCTCCCCGCCTGTCAATGATGTCCACCAAATCGTCCAGAAGTTGAGTCCCAGTCTGCAGCATTTGTTGCTGTCTTCCATCCACCTTTGTTTGATTGGTATGTGTTTGAATGGCAAACTGGGACAGTTGTACTCCACTGACTTGATGATCCACCTGACTGTACCAACTCGGGCTTCCGCTTTTGTTTATATTAGCATTTCGCATACTCAAACTCCTTGCTATGACATTTAATGTATGATCCTTTGCTGTAGGTGGTGGTGCTGAAGATGGAAGTGGCAACGATAATTGCAGCGGGTTGTGATGTACAGAAGGGACAAAACTGTGTATATTCTCTGTTTGTTGTTTCACTGAAAATGATTTAGATTCTGCGTTGAATCCTGTATTCCCTTCTGCATTGTGAGAATCTAAGTTCCAAGTAAATGGCATCTTTCTCTTTTCATTTATCTCTGCTTGGTTTCCAATTGCTCCATCCCAGCTTTGCTTTTCTGCTCCATTTTCCAAGTCAAAGCTTAACATTCTCCGGCATGATTTTTCTGCTGAGTTCACGTTAGAAACTCCAACCTCGTTCACTACACCAGCCAGTGGAGTTGTGGAGGTTTTGATGTCCTTTTTGCGTACATACTTCCTTTTTCCTGAAGGATTTCCATCAGGGCTATTATTTTTTGGAGCAGGCTTCGGTGTCCTTCTCGGTTTCCCTTCCACCACTACTTTTGGTCGGTGTTTTCTTCTTCTGGGTGTTTTTTGCTGTGGTGTCTTGTTCAGATCAATTCCTCCACCATCATCGGATACGTTCTTTTCCTTAGGCAATTCCAATGTGGAAGTAGATTCGGCCACAGCGTTCTGCATTATTTGATTAGATTGTTTCTCTACAATTTCAGGTGGTTGAGATAAGACTACATGACTTCCATTATCAGAAATGCTATTTTCTTTTGGCAATTTCAATACAGCTGTATATTCGTCCACAATTTTCTGCAATAACTGACTAGATTGTTTCTCTGCAATTTTAGGTTGTTGAGAGAAGATTACATTTGCTGGATCATCATTTTCTTGACTTGGGATTTTGTCTGTCAACCAATGTGGTGCTCCAGTGGCCTGGAAGTTCTTTGATTTGTTTTGCTGATCTGGCGTTACTGGCCCTAATTGGAAGAGCCTGACTGTACTTGCGGATGCACCAGCTTCTGTTCTTGGTGGTGGTAAGTTCAGATTACAATTGGATCGGTAATTAACCAACCGTCCATCTGTCAGCAAGCAGCATCATAATCATCAGTCATGATAAGAATTTTAACAAAATATTATTTGTTCATATGAATGTTTACATGAAAATTTAAAGATACTTGTCATTTTCAGATTGACACCTGTGGATATGGATTATATGTCAAGATCTGCAATAAATGATAATATGGAATTGGGATTTACATTATTTTCTTTTTCAAAATTATTCGAAATAGAGTGATGTCACTGATTACGTGAAAGATAGGCATGGAACTGAAAAGTAAAGGGGTATACGTCTGCGATCACATGAAAATGAATCTAGTCCTTGGTGGATACACATGAAGATTGAAACATGGAACCCGTATTTTACAACTAGTAGATATACCGTTGATTATGTGAAATAGGATGCACAAAACATGGGAAGTAAATCCTAGTGGATTTAATGTTGATTGCGTGAAACAGGGATGCACATAACACAGGAAGTAGAAGGATATATGTCATCGATCACATGTAAATAAACCTATTTTATTTTCAGTACATGCAAATTTTGAAATACGTAACTTTTCTATTCTCCTAGATGTAATACAGTTGTATGCAAAATGCCGGTCATGCAGTTGAAGTTTTGCTGAATGATTTGGTTCTCCTAAACACTAAAATTTGATGAAGTTTAATTATCGAAATTGCATACAGAAGACATTTTAATCATTTAAAATTTCATAACAGTTATTTTTAAATAGCAATGAGACTAATGATTTCATCTGTGTGTATCTTCAATATGAATTAGGCAGCCATCAACAAAAACAAGTTAAATGCACTGAAATTGCAACTGTAAAAAATTTATCTGAAGAATAATTTACTTAACCTGTCGGTATTTGCTGTAGGCTGTAACCACAACCATCTTGATTTACATACAGAGTGTGGTTCTGCTGGAATGTAGAACTAGTATTTTTGTACCCTGTCCGGTTGGTTAAGACTTGAGAATGTGGACTGGGCATAGTCTTGGCCATAACATAACTTCTGTTTGCTGTTTCATTTGTAGAGGGCTTACACACAGCATTCTTCGTCCCCAGTAATTCAATTAATGTATTAACCTTCTGAGGAATATCATTACCTGAATTTTGTATATATGACCCAATATTTCTAGCATTTTGATTGAAGCTTTCGAAATTTTCAATCAGAGCAATATCTCTATTGCTATGTTGCCCTAGATTCTGATGACCTAGGAGTCCAGTTGGAGTGTAATTCTTAATATAGGAACCACCATTTCCAGTATTTTGATTGAAGCTTCTGAGCTCCTCAATTGGACCAAGATCTCGATTTATAAAATCCCCTTGATTCTGACCTATGACTCCAGGACGAGTGACAGTCTGGTGAGCCCCATTACAGGTCTCGTCCTGTAAAAAGCCAGTGTAAATTCCAAGCAAATCCTGCCAATTTGTACTTCCCGGCTGCAATTCAGCAGGTAAGTGACTTGATCTCTGTAGAATTGGCTTCTCCGGTGTCAAAGGAATACAAGGATCCCCATTCTGAACGGCTCCCTTATCCCGGGGAATGGAAAATCCTCTCCCCAGGTTCATATCCTCAGAATTTCTTATAAACCCAATTCCAGTGTCCCGTGTGTATAACTAAACTCCAGTTTCTCTTAATTCTCGAGACATAAGCCTTTTGCTCCCAAACTCTGCAATCTGCACCCTACCTGGTGGACATTTCAAAACAAATTTATCACTAAAATAACATGAATTACACAAAATTTGTCAGATTACACGAGAAAAAGAATTCATTTTTTTGCAGTAAACAAAACGGAATGACATCCATGCATTTAATGCCTGCAAACTAAATAATCTTTAAAACCAAAACTCTCTCTCTATATATACACCCATATATGTATCTGAGTGTATCTTTATGCATGTGAATTCCCAAGTTTTACAGCCCCAGTTAATTCTCTTCACTTATTAGCAAATGCACCTCATAAAAAAGTACCAAAAATAATAAAAGGAAATGAAAACGGAAACAAAGAATTAAAAGCAGAAAATCAGAAAAAAAAAAAACTAGAGGTGAATCAGAATGAATTGGAGGATTTAATTCCAAATTTAAATGAAGGAAATTGAAATGTACCCAGGTGAATAAAATTGCACAAAATCCTTCCAGAGATTCTCTTCTGTGATTCTCTTCGAAAATGCAATCGCTCATAGATATGGGTTCTTTATACAGTCAAAATTATAACCTTTTAATTGAGATTAAAATGCATCACAAAAATGGAAAAAAAATTAAAATTTATCAGGTATGCGAAACTCACCGATCTCTATATATAGCAGTTATCTATATAGCCGGAGGGTATAATCTTTGGAACCAGTCAATGCCGGAGAGCCAAGTCAGCTTCGTTATAACAGGAGAATTTTAGAGAGAGAAGAGGAGAGAGTTTTAGAGAGAGAGAAGGGGGGTAATAAACAAAGTGAACAGTAAGACAAGTCTTTAAAGGCTAAAATGAAATGGTGCATGGGTTAGGCAGGTTAGAATTTTTGCAATAAGGGCACTCTCACTATGGTCAATAATACAATCAAGCAGAAATTTACACCTATATTAAAGAATTTGTCTTTTATTTGAATAATGAAACAATAAATAAATATTAAGGTTTTTTCATAAGAAAATATCCCAATAATTGCTTATTGATATAGTGAATTAGTCGTTGAATTGCTGATCTTTGATTGACTACGGTTATGTAATAATAGTTTTGATATAGTGAATCGATGGTTGAATTGCTAATATCTGGTTTGCCTAATGTTTATGTAATTATATCTTGTATTAGACTAAGTTGTGAAGATCGGTTGTTGATAGTATTGTTTAGCATTTGTAATTGGTGATTTCAGTTGTCAAATATTGCAATAACTTTATATTGTTTATCTGGTTGAGTGGGATGATCTGCGGTTGACATTGTAGTTTACATTATCATTTAGATTCTAGGATTTGTTTTTGCGGTAAAATTATTGCAATAATAGATTTATATTGTTTATCAGTTTGAGTTGTGAGGGTTTGTTGACGCCGTATTTCAGGTTCTATAGTAGTGAATGTCATTTCTTGTTGAAATTGTTGAATATTTTGATTATCTTGATAGCAAATAGAATATTTGAGACAAATACTTTCACGGTCAAAGTCAATAACTCGTTCAAGGCAATATACATATTTAGTATATAAAATTTTGGATTTGATATATTGGATGAAAAAAGAAAGTTCGGTTTTTTGTTGGTATAGAACTAATCGTGTTTTTATTAATAATTAATAATATTGTACTCGATATTTGGGATACGTTTTTTATATAGCGTATCGGTTCTGTGTGAAGATTTGTTGTCAATGTTCAAATTTGAAATGGGTCCAGGAGAAACAAATTTTTGATTTTATATTATTTTCATAGTCAACGAACTTACTCTTTATAATTGTGATTGTTTAGATTTGTTAATAGTATTGTCTTTGTTTTGTAGAACGAGTATGCACTTAATAAAGGGTATACTGCAAATTTGTTGTACCACAATTGTCAATGAATGTCAATATTTATAGTTAACTGCATAGATATGCATCTAAATGTGCTTCCTAGAAGTAGTGATCAACATGGTTGAGTATATCCTATTCATTATCATATCAAGATTTTTAAACTTTTATTGTATTGATGGGAGCATGTATTTGATCTTGTTGCAATCAAACATGTTAATAAAGCTCCCGTGGCGTGTAAAAGAATAAAAAAACTAAGTCGTATCAATTTTTATTTTGCAATACTATAGTGATATTAAGAGAGATTTTATTTCGGCCGAAGTATGCATGATGTTCTCAATAAAATTACCCTTAAATTGAACGATCATTAAAATGATAAGAAATCACAATTTCATAATCAATAATGAACTTTGTTTTTCGCCGCTTTGGGTCGTGGGGCTTACTTCCTTTGTCTTTGTATTCAACAAGTGATTCAGAGTTGTCTTGTCTTTCAACGATGTCTCTAAGTAATGACTTGAAAGAAAAATTGATTATGATTATCTTTATAACTACGTAAATTAAAACTAGAAGTCTTAGGGTTTCTCCTTCCTTTAGCATGAGCAATGCATTAGGTGGCCAAAAAAAAAGTACACAAAATTTGTTGAACAAAATTTATGTAAATTATGTCATTAACAACCAAAGACAAATACGATAACTTCGCAATTCAACCACAAAATTAACACGTGCATTGCACGACCAATCTTCATTAGATAAGTAACGTGTTACTCTAGAGAATATATAGTGATTTTTGTCACGTAATATTTTCACGGTCTATGTTGAGTAACACATTTAAAGCAAACTTTGTATGGATTAAATTTCACGTTCAATTTATTGAACGGAAAATAATCTTTATTGATTTTTTTCTTGTGAAATATTGTAATATGTGCTTTATGTTGTGTCTTTGGTCTATAATTGTGAAGATTTATTTTTATTGTTGGTGTTCAAATTTGTAAACGTAAATATTTCAATCATTTGAAGCGTATGTAGCGAATGTGTCATGTTATCTTATTTTCACGGTCAACAAACGTACTCTTTGTAATTATGTTGTGTAGATTCACGATCAATATACATACTCTTCTAATTGTCGTTGTGTAGATCCATTGTTGATTATATGATTTTTTATTTTTGTTTTTTTATTGGAGTAGATATTTATATTATCTGATGGCTATAATACAAATTTGTCAAATTTTAGCAATTTTACAGTCATTGGACGTCAAAATTTACACCTATTCTAAAGAATTTGTCTTTGATTTGAAGAATGGAAAGAAATGTTATGATTTTATTTTTGTTGTAAAATATCACAATAATTACTTATTGATATAGTGAATTGGTGGTTGAATTGTTAATATCTGGTTTGACTGACAGTTACGTAATTATGGTTTTGATATAGTGAATCGATGGTTGAATTGTCAATATTTGGTTTGACTAGGGATTAAATAATTATGGTTTTTTTTTTTTTTGTAATGAAAGATTGGAATTACTTTTTTATATTGTCTATTAGATCGAGTTGTGAAGATCAGTTGTTAATAAATAATTCAATTACTTAGGAGAAACAAATATTTGATGTTATATTGTTTTCATGGTCGATGAACTTACTTTTTATAATTGTGATTGTCTTGATTTGTTAATCGTATTGTCTTTATTTATAGGATGAGTAGGCACTTAATAAAGGATATACTGCTAATTTGCCATACCATAATGGTAAGTGGATTTCAATATTTATAGTTAAACTTAACCGGCATGGATATGCATCTAAATATGCATACTAGAAGTAGTGATCAACATGTGATTGAGTATATCCTATTCATTATCATATTAAGATTTTTAAACTTTTTTTGTATTGATGGGAACCTATATTTAAACTTGTTGAGATCAAATATATTAATAAATGTCTTGTGTTGTGTAAAAGAAAAATAAAATCGAGTCATATCAGTTGTTTTTGCAAATACTATATCAATCTTAAGCAATAGAGTTTATTCCGGTCAAAGGTATGCATAACGTTCTCAATATAATTACTCGTAAGTTGAATGGTTATAAAAATGGTAAAAAAAAATTGTCACAATTTCATAATTGGAAATAAAAGTTATGTCTAAGCGATAACTTGAAAAGAAAAATTGATGATGATCGTCTCTTCAAATATGTAAATAAAAAATGAAATTCTTAAATTTTCTCCTTCCTTTAGCATGAGCAATGTATTCATTGATAAAAAAAGGAGACAATTTGTTGAATGGTATTCTATGTAAATTATGTGTAACAACAAAGCAAATACAATAACTTCACAACTCAACCACAAAACAAGCACGTACATTGCACGATCAATCTTTATTATATAAGTATTGTTTCTCTCTTGAGAATGTATAGTGATTTTTGTCACGTATTATTTTCATCTGTTTAAACAAATTATATATGAATTAAATTTCAAGCTTGACTTATTAAATGGAAAAGAATATTTATCGGTTTTTTCTCGTGAAATATTGTAATACGTCTCTATATTGTGTGTAGGTTTGTGATTGTGAAGATCTATTTTTATTGTTGTTCAAATTTGTAATATGTAAATAGTTTAATTATTTGGAGCGTATGTAACGAATCTGTTATTTTATCCTATTTCAATGGTCAATAAACATACTCTTTGTAATTATGTTGTGTAGATTCACCATCAATGTACTTACTCTTTTTAATTGTGACTGTGTAGATATGTTGTTGATTATATTTTCTTTCTTTGTTTTTTCTATCGGTTCTATGTGAGACTTTGTTGTTAAAGTTAAAATTTGAAATGGGAAAATAATTATTTTATTTAGGAGAGAAACAAATTTGTTGCGTTATATTGTTTTCATGGTCAATAACTTACTCTTTATAATTTAGGTTGTCTAGATTTGTTAATAGCATTGTCTTAATAAAGGGTGTATTACAAATTTGTCATACCATAATGGTCAATGGGTGTCAATATTTGTCTTAACTTAATTTGTCGAACGAAATTTTATGTAAATTATGTGATAAACAAAAAATGCAAATACAATAATTTCACAATTCAATCGCAAAATTAGCACGTGCATTG